ATTTTATTCTGTTTTAAGCTTTGTATGCTTAAGTTAGTCTTCCGCTTCTAGTCAGCCAAGATGAGGGTTCGCTTGGGGACCAACAATGGTTCTCGAGTGTCGGCGACGTCCAGTGTGTAGGCTTGGGTCGTGACACTAAGCTTCTAGCAGTCCAGAGTCGACTATAAAAAGTATGCAGACAGTAAGGTAAGGGACATGCCATTTCATACTGGTGAGAAAGTCCTTCTAAAAGTGTCACCCATGAAAGGGGTGATGTGATTCGGCAAGAAGGGCAAGCTTAGTCCTCGATATGTTAGACCATTTGAGATCCTTGACTTTGTAGGGCCTCACCCCTAGCTTACTTGGAGTTCATCCAGTGTTTCATGGACTGTTAAAGAAGTATCATGGGACGGAGATTACATTATTAAGTGGGACTAAGTTTTGTTAAACAAAGACCTTCAGTATGAGGAAAAACCGGTTGCAATTCTTGATCGAGATGTCCTGAAGCTGAGGACCAAGGAGATAAAGTAGTGTAAGTTCAATGGATGCATCATCTGGTTGAGGAAGCTACTCGAGAAACTGAGAAGGACTTGTGATACATGTATCCCCATTTATTTGACGATTCAGGTACCACTCTACGTTCGCCTTAGCCCTTTTCTCCTAGTTTGTCACTCGGGGACGAGTGATGGGTAAATTGGTATCTATTGTAACGACATGTTGCCGTCGTTATGGAAAAGCCAATGGGGAAAGAATTTGGGCCAGAATTTTTTTTTAAGAAGTGACTTGAAAAATTGTAACATAGTTCAGGTTTGGACGAAATCTGAGTCAGGTGAGGTCTAGGGAAATTTGGTAAGGAATGGGGGATTTAATTATGAATTTGATCATAATGAGTGGATAGCTAAGACGTTAATGAGCCTGTACTTCTTTACAGAATCCAATTCGGGCGAGTAGAACTCCTAAAACTGATCTTGGCGTGAAAGGGTAGTTTTTGAACGTCAAGGGTTGAAAGTGTGTTGCGAAATGGGAGCTTGGAACTCAAATTCTGACTTTCTGTCTCTGTGCAAGCCGCCAGAGCGGGGCCGCTGTAGCAAATTGGGTCCCGCTATAGCGGGACGGTCACGACTTAAATTGGGGAAAACCCCCAAAAATGTTAGTTTTCTGCAAACCTTCGTTCTTAAGAGCCAAAGAAAAACCCAAGGCAATTTCTTGATAGTTTTTCACGACTTTTGATGCTAAAGGTAAGGATTTTCTTCCCTAATTCATTTTTCGATTCGTAGAACTTAGATTCTTGGGTAATTATCATTGGGGGAGGGTTTTGGCCTGAAGTTGATGATGGGAAAATCCCTAGTTGAACATTAGGATCTGGGTTTGGTCTTGGGTTATTAAGATTGTTATAATTCGGGTAAATTAGACCTTGTTTATTGATCTTGACATTAAGTTACTTATTTATAGACCAAGAACAAGCGGAAAAAATTTGGAAAAGGAATTAAGGATCAAGTGTCTTAGGAGGATTCAAGCTTGGTTTCGAGGAAAGTGATGGTTTGATTTCATGTGATGTGATATATGTCGGATAATTGTTTCATTGTATGCGTGCATGTATGTGAATAGGGAATGCGAATCAATCTAATGAAATGATGATGTGTGTCTCAATACATGTCATGAACATGTTACTTGATTGTATGATAATATGTATTGTTCATTACGAATGTGATTGTGACTTTGGTTGTGCTGATTGGATCGGGTGTCACGTTTCGACGCATATATTGGATCGGATGTCACGTTCCGACACATATATTGGATCGGGTGTCAAGTTCCAACACACTAACAGTTTGGGCGTGGGTTCCGTGAGAGGACCACTTATGATTATTATGTTCTTGTTTACCTGACATTGATATTGGGGAAGTGTATGTTGTTCCTAAAATGATTACTGATCTATGTATTATGTATATGTGTGCTTACTGTGTTGTAATTGTTTGTTGTATATATTGTGCTTATGGGATTAGCCGCGTGATCCAATCAGTACACTGTGATTGTGTACTGATACTGCACTTGCTCTTTCTTTGTTGAGTACAAGGCATCTTCAGGCAGCTATTGACAGACCTCAGTTAGGAGACTATTGAGCGTGATTGGATTCAAGGGTGAGCCAGTTCTTTCAGGCTGCCGTAGATCTTTTTTGTTTAAGTCCACTCTTTTCGGACTCAGACTATTTATTTAGAGTGTTTTGTTTAGTTTTCGGGGTTGCGCCCCTTTTTCTTAGACTTGTTAGTTAATCAGAGTTTTGGTACAATGAATTTCGGTTCTAGGGGTTGAATTTCCACATTACTTATTTTGTTAGATCTTCGGAGTTTATGGGAACTCCGTACTTTCTTTTAGTTATTTAAACCTGCTTCCGTATCTTTAAATGTGCTAGTTTTCGTTAAGTTGCTTAGTTGGGTTGTAGTAATGTTTCTCCCACCGGAGGGTTAGTATGGGTGCCAATCACGGCGGTCTTGGTCGTGACAGAAGCTAACTACAAAAGCCCTAAGGGCAATAACAAACAACTCAATAGGCTAAAGGTGAGAAATTTAGCTATAAATAATCTATACGAATAGTCTCTAAGTCGTGCCTACATAGGCTCATTATTAACATATTACGAGTCCCAACAAGTAAGAATTACAAGTACTCAATCATCCAAGCAATAACAAATATGTCTACACGTTCAACAATGATAACAACCCTATTATATCGCTCCTAGGCTTTAAGGAAACATGTCAAACAAAGGGAATAGTCGTAACATACCTTTTTTGGTGAATTCCAGTGGCCTATCAACTCCTAATTGATACTACAATAAGGCAGCACCACAATCAACACATAAGAATGGAAATTACGTTGATAATCCAACAAAAGATACATATTTCTGTAGCAACTCACTATTCCGGCTTACCAAGGCTAGAATAAATGAAATGCGGGTCTTACCTTTAACTTAAAGCTTGAACTTAATCTCAAAACCTCCTAAAAAAGTAAAACCCCTGATGCTACAACTACCACAGAGATATGCCACACGATCCACAAAGAAAACTATACCAAAATAACGAGCTCGCAACGTAGAGAAACTTTCCTGAAGCATGAGAGATGAAATCACAAAGACCTAAAGAGTATTTTATGGATTTGGAGAGAATTTCTCTTGGTTTTAGGCTACTGAAACGTGAAAATGAAGAAAAAAAAAACTGAAGCTGGTTGATTAATTAAAGTTTCCACCGACATTGGCAAGTTCCCACCGACCTTGACCCTTCTAACTTGCATGCTTGCTTCATCTCACAAAAATGTAAATATCTCTGTATTTTGAAATTGTATTAACAAACAGTTTGATGTGTTAAAATTAGACATATAGACCTTCAATTTGATAGTTTATGGGCCCCATAAATCTATATATATTGGGAGAAAATCAACGAGACACATGACCAAATTTCAGAGAAAATTTTAAAAGAAACCTACGATAACTTTCGCCAACTTCTATTTCACAACTCGCTTAAGTTTAAAAACATGACATATATCCCTTGAACACTTAGAATATGACATACCAAATCATTATTAATTTATTAATCACTCCTACCATGAAGGTGTGGGTTAATTTAGACATTTTGAAAGTGCGGTTGTTATAATAATGCAATGACCCGGTCTTTCATTTTTGGAAATTTTCATAAAATTACCATTTTGCCCCTCGTTATTTTGACTCTGAGTCATTTTTGATTGAGTTTTGAAAGTTGATTTTAAACATTGAGTAAAACGTTGAGAATTTGGTAAGTTTTTTTTTTATATATAACTTGGATTTTCATTCATAACAAAAAAAGGAACAGTACAAAGTAACACAATTATGGGACTAATTGCGTCTTTTCTAACCCTCTTTCCTCCTACTCATAAAACAATCAATTCATAAGACTAAAATATTACAATGCAAAACACCTACTCTAAGGATAATTATTTAGAGCATGTAGTACATGTTTCCATTTCGCCTTGTGTTGACCTCTTAAATGAATATGCATTACAATTTCTCTGAGGATCTTCTCCACACATAATCTCCCTCGCTGGAATCTGATCATGTTCCTTTCTCTCCAAATGATGTAGACAATCATCACAAAAACACTAGTCTTGATCTCAGCAGCTCCTGCATTCTTTTTAGCAACATCACTGATCGAAGCTATCTCTATTTTCAAATCTTGAATACTTCTTTGGATCCCCAACCAGTTACACAGTCATCTCCATAGTGTCCTTGTCACCTGGCATTCAAAGTAAAGATGTTCAAATGTTTCCTTTGTATTGCCACAGAACACACAATCTGGTGGCACCTGGATTCCAAACTTTTCAAGTCTTTCAACAGTTGCTAATCTTTTCTGCACAGCCAGCCACATAATGAATTTGAATCTGGGATGTACTCCTTGCTACAAGGTAATACTTTTCCATTCTACTCTTGGAAAAGTAGGCATGATATATGTATACATCTTCTTAGTAGAAAACTTCCCTCCTTTTTGTGCCTTTATAAACTCCTTCATCAAATCACTCTGCCCAACTTGCCTTTGGATTAGCATAGCTCTTATACCCAGAATTTTCCTCACAACCCATGAAGCAACAGTAGGTATAGTGATAGTTTCGATCCCCCTGTTCTTTATAAAATAATTATGCACCCATTGAGTCCATGGACAGTCTTTCTTCCTAGCTTTATTCCACAGTTGTTTGAGTATTGCAACCTTTTTCCACAACTTAAGATCAATTATGTTCAGTCCACCTGCAGCTTGTGGTTTGCACATTGCTTCCCATGATACTAAAGCTTTCTTGGAGATAGTTACCACCCCTGTCCATAAGAAGGTCCTACAAATTTGTTCTATAGTCTTTATTACCTTCTTAGGAATAACAAAAACCTGTGCCTAATAGTCTTGGACCCCAAATATGACTGACTTTATCAATTGGACTCTTCCAGCATAGGATAGCAGTTTTGCTGACCAACAAGTCACTTTGGCAGTAATTTTCTCAATTAATTGCATGAACTAGTTGACACTAAGTTTCTTTGATACTAAGGGAACCCCCAAGTATCTGAAAGGCATAGTGCCCTCAGTATAGCCAAGTTCTTTCAGTAATTCCTGCTTGATATGATCAACAACTCCAGCTATATACAAGGAAATTTTGTCTGCATTTACCTGTAATCCTGAAGCTCTAGATAATTTCATAAAAGTTTCATTCAAAAGCCTAACAGAAATTAGGTCAGCCCTGCAATACATTAATAGATCATCCGCAAAGCAAACATGTACACTCTCCAGTCTTGTGCATCTTCGATGGTAATTAAAGTTCCCATTCTTTGTGAGCTGTTGTAGTTCTCTTCCCAGATACTCCATGGATACAGGGTCTCCTTGTCTTAATCCCCTCTTAGCTTGAAAATGTTTAGTCAATCCACCATTCAATAACAAAGAGTAAGATACTGTTGTCACACAAGTCATAGTCCATGAAATGAATTTAGCAGGGAACCCAACTCTATCATCAATTGCTTCAAGAAACTCCATTCTAGCGAGTCATAAGCTTTCCTTATATCTACTTTAAGAACACATCTTGGGGAAATCCATTTCCTTCCATAACTTCTGAATATTTTATGGCTAAATAACACATTATCCAAAATACTTCTCCCTTCAATAAATGTAGATTGAGCCCTCCCAACCAGCCCTGCTATCACATTCTTTAATCTTCCTGTAAGGACCTTTGAGATGATTTTGTACAAAGAAGCGCAACATGCAATGGGTCTATAATCCTTAACCTTTGTAGGGGAAGGAACTTTAGGATTAGTGTTATAGCTGTTGTATTTATAGCAGGCATAAGATCACCAGTAATAAAGAATTGTTGAACAGCTTCCAATACCTCTCCTTTGAATATATCCCAATTCCCTGTGAAGAACTCAATAGGAAAACCATCCACACCAGGAGCCTTTTCTTTTGGCATAGTCTTGATAGCTTCAATAATTTCCTCCTTAGTCACCTCTTTGATCAGATCCTTTTGTTGTTGTAGAGTCAAACATACTCCTGTCTTTACCACCTCAGCATTTAAACAAGGCAAGTTACTGTTGCTAGCACCCATTAGTCCAGTAAAGACCCCAATAAATTCATCTTCAATTGCTCTAGGATCTGTAAGCTTGGTATTATTATCAGTGTAAATAACAGTAATGGAATTTTTTCTACATCTAATCTTCCATTGAGCATCGAAATATCTAAAGTTCTGATTTTTGGAAGGCTAAAGTTGCTTAAAGTGGGTTTTTGGTGTCTTTCAAAGTTTCGAGTGTTGGAATGGAATTCTACCAATTCCATCTATTTTGAAATGTGGAAATTGGTCTATGAGAGTTTTTTATTTCAAATTTGGAGTATTTTTGAGGATATGAGGTTCTAAGTTGGAAATTTGTGAAATTTTAGTCTTTCGGTTGACTTTGATCAATGTTTGAGGATGCTTGAATCGGAATTCCAAAAGTTTCGTTGGATCCGCGGATGAAGGCATTAGTGAGAAGAGGTCCCAAGCTTGTTTTGGCTTTTTTAAACATTATGCTAATTTCTTATGAATTTCACAGATGTCGGGTCACGGTGACCACAGATTCGTGTTTTAATGATTCCATTGAGTTCGGAACATCGAGTTTAGTCTATTTGGATATATTGTTTATGTGTATCATATTTCGAACGAATCCCGAGGATCTTTTTGATGATTTTTTTGTTGGCTGATTTTGTTGAGGTTTGATATCTGCTACCACTCACGATCGCGATAGGGTGTTCACTTTCGCGAACCTCACAATTGCGAGAACCTAATCGCGAAAGAGAGAGAGGTGGAAGTCCAGACCTTTGCGAACGCAAAGGGCCTGTTCGCTATCGCGACCTTGGCGAAAGTGAAGGCTGAGTGTTTTCCTACGACATCTTAGAGTGTTTTTTATATGAAATTTTGGAGTTTAACCACCATTTTTTATTTTTGAGTTTTCGAAAACCCTTAGAGGCAATTTTGAAGAGATTTCTTCTGCTAAATCATTTGGGTAAGCTTTTGTGACCCTAAAATTTCATTTTTCTTTGATCATTTATAGATTTAATCGACAAAACTTGAGATTTTGATTGGCAAATAGCAAGGTTTTTCAAGAACTTCACTTCTAAACTAAAATATTGATTTGAACTGATTTTAATTCCGTTTTTGAGATGAAATCCACCAATGAATTCCAAATGCATTGGGTAACATTTTCAAGTAAAGATTTTCTAATGCAAACTTCATTTTTGGAGTTGGATTTCTGTGGATTGCCTTGTTGTGGACCCTATTTGGTTGATTGATGAAATTCTTTGATGGCATTTATGTGGACTTGAATTGCTTGAATTGTTGTCTCTACCTTATGGTGTGAAATTGCTTATTGCATTGATTGTTGTACATCGTGATGAGACATGTGATGTTGTGACGAAGGGAAATGACTCAGGCTAGTGATGTAATATAAAGTCGAAGGGAAACGGTTCCAACAAGAGCTATGATATAAATTCTAAGGAAAATAGTTCCAGTTAGTGACACTGTGTCGAATGAAAATTGTTCTAGCAAGAGTTGATTATTGACATTTCGATGCAATTGATACTTGTGATTCATCTATTTGTTCCTTGTGATTGGCATAGTTGATGTGTTTAGGTTGTTGAACTGTGACTATTGGACTATGTGATTAAGCCTTGTAAACTATGTATTGTGAAACTGTTAGGTTTGGGTAATTTCTATCCAGGTTATAGTTTGAGAAGGTCCAGTTGGGATGAAAGGAGTAATTTTTTCTAGCTTATTTTTCCTTGTTTATTTGGTTACTTGTCGATTACCATGTTGATTGGTACTCACTCCTTGCTTGTACACTTTTGTAGGTTCCGAGTCCAGTGTCGTGTGATTTCTCTTCTTCTTCTCCCATTTTTGAGGCTTGTCAAAGGACTTTGAAAGGTAGTTGCTTGTCATTCTAGTGGGTCCTCTTGTTCCATACTTTATGCTTTGTTCTACTTGAGCAACAGAGATAATGAGACTTGTAATTTTCTTTCATTTCGCACATTATGAATTAGTGGCTTGTACACGTGACAACTAGGTTTTGGGGTTATAATAGAATGAATATGTTTTCTGGTTTTATCTTGTTCTTGTTTCATTTTCTTCATCTCATTCATTTCAGTGAGTTGAGGCTGTAGACAAGTGTCTTCACATCCATATTTGAGTCGTGACAGTATAAATTCTTTTTGTGAATGCTAGATTGATTCTTAAGTTGTTTCACCTCTTAAGTTTAATAGTCAACTTCTCATGTAAGGCTAACGTCATATAATGACAGATTTCTTTTACAAATGATTTACCTTTACTTTTGTATTCATATATAATAGATGTTCTATAACTAATTTGGATATACAATTCGATTTATGGCGTTTACTCAAACTTTATTCATTGGTTATGATATTCGCATTTATCTAGTTATTGATGTTATGCCTTGTGAAAATATTAATTTAATAACAAATGATAGTTTTCTTGGTGGATAGATGTACGATAGTTTGGGCAGGTTATTAGTTACACAATTTTGGGTTGAGATAAAAAAAGTTAAAAAAGAAAATAGATAGGGATGGAGCATAGACATGTCGTAAAAGTAGAGGCACACAATCCAGAAGTTGATGTGATTATTATTATGCTTTTCCAGGTAGAAAAGAGGTTTAGGCTTTAATGCAGTTACCATATGTATTATTTCAACTTTTTATTGACATACTGTTATTTTATTTGATCTAGGATCTACTTAATCTTATGTATCTGCCTATTTTACTATGTACTTGAATATGATGTGTGATTCCTTGATAGTACCCATACATGTTTCTATTCATGTATGTGATTTATTAGTAGTGTATGATCTAGAGTTGTGACCTTGTTGGGGGTATGGTACATGGGTGGACCTTATCATTCTTGATACGGTGGATTTTGATGTGCTTTTTGGTGTGAATTGAATATGTTTTTATCATACAGTTTTGGATTGGTATGTCAAGACGGTTACTTTGGTTATGTCGGGTGTTCCTCATTTTGTGTGGAAGGGTACATTTAACCATTCATCTAAGAGGGTGATATCAATTTAGAGCAAGGACGATGGTAGAGAAGGAGTATTTGGCTTACTTAGCGCACATTCGGGATACTAGTATAGTGGAGTAAGATAATTCTTAGTATATCATGATTTTGTTTATTTTCGTAGCTACATTTTCAAGAATTAAAAGGCTTACAATATTGCTTTAATTTGCAAATATATGTTAATGGAAGAATATTAAATGAATGACCATAAGTACTTACTATGAAACTATTGTGATAATCTAATTCAAAATTCATATAGATTGGAAAGTACATCTATGTAGAAAGAAAAAGAAAAAAAGGGGACAACTAATTGTTAAAAAAAATCATTTTCTATTAAATCATGATATATTATTTTTATTATGGTTTGATAATTAACACAAAAAATTAGAACAAAAAACGTTAAATATTACACAAACAAATATTTTGTAACTCAAAAGTCTTGCATTAGCAATAAATGTAAGAATTTTTTATTAAAAACAATTTAGTTTGTTAGGATTAATTTTCTTTTGAAAAATGAAAATTCAAAAGAGGATGAAAATTTTCTCGCAGTGTTTAGATTTTCTAAATATAAATTAACTAATATGTATAAATCGGAGAATATCTATAAAAACAAAAGGACAATAGTATCTTTAATAAGAGAACAACATCAATAACTTTCAAGTTTGATTGTCAAGCTATCACTTTAAAAAATTATCATACAAGAGATGTGAAATCTACAAGTTTGAAGGTGAGCCTTCGGCCTATAAATTCTTTATATGACCTCCATAATTTAGATGAACAATTCAGTCTTATCTCCTCGTTCAAGAAAAATAAGATAGGTGAAGTTGTCTTCTTTTGAATAAAATTTTATGTTTTTTTTTTTTTACAAAAGATACTTATATTAATAATAACTGTAACAGTACATGGGAGAGACAGAGTTGTACGCCTGCTAGTAGTGTTATGGTCGGATACTAGTATAATGGAGTAAGATAATTCTTTTTAGTATATCACGATATTATTTATTTTCGTAGGTACATTTTAAAGAATTAAAAGGCTTGCAATAATTGCTTTAATTTGCAAATATATGTTAATGGGAGAATATTAAATGAATGGCCATAAGTGCTTACTATGAAACTATTGTGATAATCTAATTCAAAATTTATATAGATCGAAAAGTACATCTATGTAGAAATAAAAAGAAAAAAGGGTACAATTAATTGCTACAAAAATATCATTTGCTATTAAATCATGATATATTATTTTTATTATGGTTTGATAATTAACAAAAAAAAATTAGAACAAAAAACGTTAATATTACACAAAAAAATATTTTATAATTCAAAAGTCAAGTTCCATTAATTAGTTAATAATTAATCGCTTAGACAGATTGTTTTTACATAAATGATAAGTCGAGAAGCAATTGAAACTAGAATAAATAGTGCAATAGGAATAAATGTAAGAAATT